CCAGGTGTCCCGGGGGGCTAGGTGCCCCGTATCCAGGCTCTGACTCAGTGTCGAAGGAGTAGGAGGATTGGGTGCTCTCAGAGCTGCAGGAGAAGGAGAAGGTCTTTGGCACTGAACCCAGATCAGATACAGAGACAGATGCAATGTCTGTGTTTGGTTCAGACCCAGTGTCTGTGTTTGGTTCAGACCTAGTGTCTATGTTTGGGAGTGATGGTGGTGGCTCATCTTGGTTGTACTTGTTGTGAGTCATTGGACAAGAACCTAGGTCACATTCAGAGACAGATACAATGTCTTTGTCTGGTTCAGACCCAGTGGTGAAGACGTGTTTCTTTGTGTATGGGAGTGATGATGATGATGGTAGTTCTTCTGGGTAGTTGTTGTGGTTCTTTGGCAATGGACCCAGGTCAGCTACAAACACAGTGATGGGGACCTCCACATTGGTGTACAGGTGTAACGATGATGATGCAGATGATGAAGATAATTTTGCGTTGCTGTGATTGGATGACTCTTTGGTCTCTTTGTCCACTGGTCTGAGAAGTTGTCTAGCCTCCAGAGAGACAGGGCTCTTTAGGCTCGGACTGGGTGCTGGTTTCACTGGGGTTACACACAGGGGCTTGTGGGGTTCACTGAGGAAGGCAACTGAGAGACTTAGTGATACTGGGTGCATTGGGGTCGTCTGTGATGTCTCATGGAAAGTAGTTGGGACTTTTAAAGGTTTATGGATTTCAACAGTTTGGGTAGGTTGGATTGGTTTAGCACCTTGGTTCAGAACCTTAATGTCATGTGACACTGTGGGGTGAGGTTGAGAGGGCGGGTGAGGATGAGGGAGAGGGGGTGACGCCAGGGCTGAGGTAGCTGGCTCAGAGACAGATGAGGGATGGACAGGTGATTGCATCACCAACACATCATCCTGCAGAGGTGGCTTTTGGGGCTGAGAGACAGACATACTGGTGCTTGTGTCTGGAGGCCTGCTGATAACCTCTCTCTTCTCTGGTCTCTCATCTGTATCCTCTCTTTCCTTAGTCTCCTTGACTCTCTCCACTCTCTCCTCCCCCTCTGCTTTCTTCTTTTCTTCATCCGTCTCCTCTCCTTCCTCCACTGCTTCCTCTCCTTCCTTCTCCGATTTCTCCCCTCCTCTCTGCTCCTCTGCATGAGTATCTCTCTCTCTTTGCTCCATCTCAATCTGCTCAGCTCCGAGGTTTATCTTGGCGTTGTCTTCACCTTTAGGGACGACTGACACTTCCTGCCTCTCATCACTGGTAGAGTCACCAAGCTCATGGCTTCGGTTGAATTGCCCTGAATTGCCCTCACCAATATTGTCGACTAGCTTTTCCTGTTGTTGGTCAACACTGGTGGGGTCATTGAGCCCAGAGTGGTTGCCCTCACCACTATGGCTGAAAGGCTTATCGTGTGGGTCAGTACCAACCGCGTCACCATTATGGGCAACTAACTCTTCCTGTATGCCATCACTAGCCGAGTCATCAGTCTTCAGGTTAAGAGGTTTGCCCTCATCATCATGGCCGACTCCTGGCTCCTGCTGGTCAACACAGGAAGGGTCATCAAGTTCAGTCCTCAGGTTAGGTTTTCTCTCACTATCATGGCTGACTCCTGGTTCCTGCTGGTCAACACAGGGAGGGTCATCAAGTTCAGTCCTCAGGTTAAGAGGTTTGCCCTCACCTTCATGGCTGACTCCTGGTTCCTGCTGGTCAACACAGGAAGGGTCGTCAAGTTCAGTCTTCAGGTTAAGAGGTTTGCCCTCACTATCATGGCTGACTACCTCCTTCTCTTGGTCAATCCCACTAGGGTCTATACTACCAGGGTCAGACTCAGGTCCTTGCTCAATCCCTCTCTCGCTCCATCTCTGACCTCCTGCTCCCCTCCCTCCCCTCGCCCCCCTCCCCCTGGCTGTCTTCCCTCCCCTGCTAGGCTTTACCGTCAGAGGAGGAAACTTATTGGAGCCCCCCATGCCCCGTAAGGACATCCTGCGCCCCGGGGGATCCTCTCCCACCCCATGCTGGAGCAAAGGATTACCCCGGCTCCTTAGCCTCACTGATCCTGTTACATGCACAGGGGCATGGTTAACCCTACCAACACCACTCCTCCCTGGGCTTCTGGCCAGCTGGGCCTGGGTCCTGGTTGTGGATCTTCGGGGTGGTTTTGGTGTCGACTGTGGGCTCTCAATGGCTTTTCCTCTGGGCTTGCAGGAGTTGGAGATCTGCCTCTTGGCGGTGGTAGTGGTGGTTGTTGTTGGAATCACCTTGCGGCCATTCCTTGTCTGTGGTTGGGGGTTGTCTCTTAGGGGGTTTGGGAGTAGGAGGCATAGTGGAGGATGTGAGAGGGCGGAGATGGGGCAGTCGGCATGGGAACCAGGTGAATGGTTGTTCTCAGCTGTGCTCCAACTTCTTTTCTCTCTTCCTTAATTTGTTGAGATGTGGGTTACTGGTTTATAAACAGACACCAAAATGCTGAGTTATTTCCCCACCATGTTGAAAACGCTGTGCAAGGACCTGGAGGGGAAATGAAAATATGTTAAAATAACTGGTTGGTTCTAAATTAGTGCACGGATGCATGCTATATAACACAACCAGACATGTCCATGTTTGATTGACAACACTAATAAGAGCATCTACTAAATGACTAAAATGTAAATGTAAACTTTTTTATTTTCCTTATAAAATATGCCTGGTCACACATTTTTTTTTTGTTGTATGTACTGGGTATAATAGAACCCAATTGTATAATTTGTAGCAGATGTTTAGAAATCTTGAATTGCATGGTGTTGCATTCAGGAAATGAAGTGTGTGACTATGCAAATAGAACGTGTATGAGGTATCAGGTGTAACTAAATGCGTTAGTTGTATAGTGTTAAAGATTATCGAGTTACCAGCCGTCTTTCACTTTCAACTGATCATGTTCAATAAACTCGCCTTGTGAGCCCACTGTAGGCTACTGCAGTTTTCCCTACTGTGTCCCTTTAACGGAAGGAATGGCGCTGGGCCTGCCAGGCCAAATACGCTCCGTATTTGGCCTATCCGACAAAACAGTTTACAACACCTTGTCAAAGCAATGATCCGTGAAGTAGAGACATGCTTATTACCATGTAGTTAACAGATTACACAATAACTTTCCTATAAATAAATGATTCATTGCAATATCAATAATAGATTTTTACTATTAATCAATATGCTAAAATATCCAAAGCTCCTTCTGCTTCAGCATGGCGGCGGTATTTATTTTATATTTAGGCTAAGCCATTTAACAGTTAAAAGGCAGAAGTGAAGCCCTTTAAAAAGTATAGGCTGCCAAACAACACCGGACTTGGCTTGCGGCCTACTTTTTTTTCTGCACGAGTTTCAGACGGAAGCGTAATTACAATGTTGTAACCAGCTTGCAACACTTTTTGCCGCGTCGAGTAGATTTTCTTGCACTTGACCGAATGTCCGAAAAATATCGACTATTTGACACTCGTGGCATTGGATGGCTGACTAAGCTATTCGTGAATGTCACAAATAAGATAAGTGTTGTTGGTTTAGATTTTATTTACACGTTGACTTTAAAAGACAGCTCAAATACTTTACATACCAGAGCGACAGTTGCACTGTCTGAATTGCTAATAATATTCCAGTCCTGATAGACACTGACGATCATTGTATTGGTTTCACTCGGAAATATGGCTGGTTAGTAGCTCTTCTTTACAACGCTGATACATTGACACAATCTACCAATACTGTTTTTATCAAACACGTATATAGCCATACTGAATAAAACACAATTTAAAGCGTAAATCCTTCTTGTGTCAATCCATTCGGGGAAGCCCTCTCTCCCTCCTCTCCCAGACGCGACCTACCGTCTCGAGTCAACTCAGCTCTGGGTCATTGGGAAAACCTGGAATGGAGTATTTGTCTACATTCTCTAATGAGTAGAGGTATCAAACTACTATCAAACTACTTCAAACCCTAGACAACCTTAAACAAGCTGATGTTTTGCTTCATATTCTGTATGGTTTACAACTGTGTAATAATAACACCTTTAAAAACATGTTTTACAACTGTGTAATAATAACACCTTTAAAAACACTAACAGGCTCCACACAAGTGCTATATGACCCTATATGTAGCAAATTATAAAGTGCTTAGGCAGTTGTTGACATGTTATTATTAATTGACACATTTATGGTTTAATTATGCCATTTTAATTATTTATCAATGACGTCATTCGCATGGAACAGTGCGACACTCTCGATCTGTGCACAGTAGTTGTTGGTGATCGTAAAAACACGTGCCTTAACCCTTCATACATCAATTTAACCGGTAGCAACCTGTTTTTTTATTGCTGTTTGTCTAATCATGTTTGGCTATTCTTTAGCTACGCATTTCTCGCAAAAATAGTGACCGGAAACCGAACTCACCCTGGTCGCTCGGTGAGGTTGTCTCTGCTAGGCAGGTTTGTTTGGGGAATCAGGAAGCGACGGAGGCTGCCTGCAAATGCTAATGCACCCACTAGCGAGATAGCTCCGTTGTGCAACGTTTGTTCATCTGACAATGTTGTCCTTGCAGTGGGTAAGATGGCTAATATAAGTTATTATTACAGCAACAGTCGATTGAACTGTGAGTCAGTCCATTCAATAGTAGAGATTGGAAATTGTAGCTAACTTAGTTGGCTAGCTAACGTTAATGTTAATCTGCGAGTAACGGTAGCACGATAGCTCGACTTCAATGACCGCTAGCTACTACTAGTTATTCTTTGTTTTGATACGTGACTAGCCAGCTAGTAGCTAACCAAACTATGTCTTGATTATACATTGTTTCAGTGATCAACAGCTTACAACTTTATGCCTCACATCATTATGTGCCTCTAAGGCAAGGCAGAATGTCAGTATATTGATGATGATGACGTCGAGTGTTGTCCTTTAATGCTGGGTAGGAATGTAATTATGTAACTGTTGTTTTTTTCTTTGCATAGTTATGGATGTATTAGGGTCCTGATTGAACACACACATCATGGAAACGGAGGCTGCAGTCTCAACCCGTGGTCGTCCTGTGATCCCCAACCACACTCAGGGGGACTATCACTTTGTCCGCTCCTTCGTAGCTGGAGGTAAGGGCGGCTGCAGACTTCACTAGTGATAATAATGCAGAAATACAATACAGAGCATACAGTAGTACACATCTAGTGACACAAACCCTGGTTCTGATGAGCTGCATGGTGTGCAGGCAATTCATCCAGTGATAACGGACTACTATCATCAAAATTAGTGGGTAAACCTCACCAGAGATCCAGAAAAGAAATGGGTATAGGTCTACAGAGTTCTGACAACTTAAACATCTAGACCTTGGCAGAGCGACATAGGTATAGTGAGTTTGTGGGTAGGTTTCACAGACCCAGATTAAGCTGACTTGTCTTGGACCTGGATTAAAAAGCTGCTCACTGGAGATAATTTTCTGAAAGTCCATTTTAGTCCAAGGACTACACTTAAAGCTGAAATCCACATAAATGGAAACGGCACCGCTGTTCAGTCAGCATAAGGTGAAACAGCACCTCTGTTCAGTCAGCATAAGGTGAAACAGCACCTCTGTTCAGTCAGCATAAGGTGAAACAGCACCTCTGTTCAGTCAGCATAAGGTGAAACAGCACCTCTGTTCACTCCCAGTGCATTTGTTATTGTTTTTGTTTTGTTGATGAAACGGAGGAGAAGGGCATCCAGCATTCTGGTAAAAAAAAAATTGCGTGCAATGATATCCGAGGGAAAGAAACAGTGTTTGTTGTTTGTGGCATAAACAGACGGATTCCAGCTTTAATCTAGGTTAGGGAAACTGGCACTGAATGTGCAGGTTTTTATTTATGTACAAATATAGATACAGTGCCTGGAGAAGCCACAGGACGGTGGTCAAAGGTCTGTTGTTAAAACTGTTAGTGCATCATCATCATCATCCATCTGCCAGTTATATTGGTGCTGTTACTCTGCACTATCTGTAGCTAAGTTTGTCTTATTAGTCAGATGTTGAACATGGAAAGAAACCCCATGACCTGTCCAAAGTGATGTAATATGCACTTATCCAAACTAACGTGTCTAGGTTCTTGGTTGAGCAAACTCTCATCTAACAGATAATTATCTGCAGATTAATTGAATCTTTATTTTACTTAGTCCAGCCCAGATATGCTCATGTTAAGGGTGTCTGTATCTGTCTGGGTGGGTTTAGGTGTAGCAGGATGCTGTGCCAAATCTACCATCGCTCCTCTGGACAGAGTGAAGATCTTACTGCAAGCCCACAGTCCCCACTACAAAGACCTGGGTAAGGTCTGGATAACTCTGCTGCAATGGAAGTGTTACTGAACATGTAAACATGTCTGTCTGTCTGTCAGTTGGTTTGTCAGTGTCACTCGTGTATCCCCCCCTCCCCTCCCATGTAAATCTGAGATTTATTTTTCTTCTTCTCTTGGTTGCAGCGGAAACTAAACCATGACATCCCTCCACACAATTATCTCTTGCTTATTTCTCTCCTTCGCTCTCTCTCCTCTAGGTGTGGTAGCTACTTTCCGTGCCGTGCCAAAGAAGGAGGGTTACCTGGGGCTTTATAAAGGCAATGGGGCCATGATGGTCAGGATATTCCCTTATGGAGCTATCCAGTTCATGGCCTTTGATAAATACAAGAAGATACTCAGTAAACAGCTGGGCATCTCTGGACACATCCACAGGCTCATGGCCGGTTCTATGGCAGGTGAGAGAAGATCAGTGGTGAAAATGGCCTCTTTCACGGCAGGGAGGGAGAATCCAGAAAAGACAAAAGGAGGCCTACAAAATGCAGAGAAGATACTTCCTCACTCCTGGTTATTTTCCCACAACAATAGTCTCCACAATAGTTTCAACAAAACAACAACAGTTGTTGTTGAGTATATTTTATCTGACCATGTTGTTGTTGTTGTGTTGCTCAGGGATGACAGCAGTGATATGTACGTACCCTCTGGACGTGATCAGAGTCCGTCTGGCTTACCAGGTAAAAGGACACCATCGCTACACGGGCATCGGAAATGCCTTCCAGACCATATACCTAAAGGTATGCTATTTCATTTGTTCTAACCTGTCCCTTTGTTTGTCTCTGAGTTTCACATTCAACCTGTTACCTGAGAGCGGTGAGCAGGTTTCCCTCCTGTGTTTGTGTTTATCATTAACTGACGCTCAGTGTTGGTGTTTTTATTATATTTTTAAAGGAAGGAGGCATCCCTGGCTTCTACAAGGGACTGATCCCAACCCTTATAGGCATGGCTCCATATGCAGGTGAGCATGCATGAACACACACACACAGTGTTGTGAATAAGTTTCTTTGAGTTCATTGTGGGCCTCATTTATTTTGTCCTCTCTCTCTCTCTCTCTCTCTCTCTCTCTCTCTCTCTCTCTCTCTCTCTCTCCAGGGTTCTCGTTCTTTACCTTCGGCACGTTGAAGAGTCTGGGTCTGGTCCACTTCCCAGAGATACTGGGACGACCATCCTCAGACAACCCAGAGGTGCTGGTTCTGAAGACCCACGTCAACCTGCTCTGTGGAGGGGTGGCCGGAGCTATCGCACAGACCATATCGTAGGTTGATTAACTGATGGATTGATTGGTTTTAAAGACCAACTGCTCTGTGGAGGGTTGGTTGATTGATTGGATGGTCCCTTTTTTCTCTTTCCATGGTCTCCCCCTTTCTCCCATCTCTTCTCCGTACCCTTCCATGTCTCCCCCATCTCTTCTCCGTCTCCTCTCCCTGTTCCCCCCATCTTTCTCTCCTCCATGCCCCATCCCTCTCTCTCTCCCTCCCCCATCTCTTCTCTCCCTGTTCCCCCACCCATCTCTATCTCTTCTCCTCTCCTGTTCCCCCCCATCTCTTCCTCCTCTCCATCTTTCTCCCCCCATCTCTTCTCCTCTCCTCCCTGTTCCCCCCCTCTCTTCTCCTCTCCCTGTTCCCCCCATCTCTTCTCCTCTCCCTGTTCCCCCCCATCTTCTCCTCTCCCTGTTCCCCCCATCTCTTCTCCATCTCCTCTCCCTGTTCCCCCCATCTCTTCTCCGGCTCCTCTCCCAGCTATCCTCTGGATGTTGCCAGGAGAAGGATGCAGTTAGGAGTGGTGCTTCCTGAATCTGACAAATGTCGGTAAGTGGCACCATTTAACCCTTCCTCTCCAAACCCAGGGCTCGTATTAAAAAAAAGTATGTACTGACCTAGGATCAGGTACCCCTGCACATATCATCTGATGTATTATGATCTGAAAGGCAAAAGGACCCTGTTTGAATACTTAGAAAAACCGCGTGGCAATAGGAGTTTTGTTGAGTGTGGGTATTATTGAGTCCTAAGCCCTGTTTGGTCCTCCAGACGACTACAGCATACCAATCATGCCTTTCACAGTTCACCCTGCTGCACCGTGTCAGTAGAATTACTCCACCATCTGACACTCCGTAATTACTTACTAGACAACCTCCTCACTCGGGACTGACAGAACTCCTCACTCGGGACTGACAGAACTCCTCACTCGGGACTGACAGAACTCCTCACTCGGGACTGACAGAACTCCTCACTCGGGACTGACAGAACTCCTCACTCGGGACTGACAGAACTCCTCACTCGGGACTGACAGAACTCCTCACTCGGGACTGACAGAACTCCTCACTCAGTAACTCAACAGTCTTACTCTATGTTCTACTCCATAAAGTGAGGGCTTGTGTGTCAGATGATGTCAGTCCCGAGCCTGTGTGTATGTCTGTGTCTGTATTAACCAGCTCAGTTGTGGGGGTTTAGAAGGCACAAACAGACTGGCACTGGCAGAATATCCTGTTCCAAACATCTTTAACAGATTTTTATCTTGTTGAAGCAATGTTTTATTATTATGTAATTAACATATTAAAATGTAATTGATAAATACGTTTTCTGGTAAGCGCTGTAAAATAAAGCATAACTTTTTAGTCTTCCCACTTATCTCCCTCTACAGTACCCTGACCAAGACTCTGCAGTATGTATACAGTCAGTATGGGGTGAAGAAGGGTCTGTACAGAGGCCTGTCTCTCAACTACATCCGCTGTGTGCCCTCTCAGGCTGTGGCCTTCACCACCTATGAGTTGATGAAGCAAACCCTCCACCTCAACTAGCTGACCCTCCCCATCCACCTTCACCCTTCATCTCTGCATAGCCGGACTGAGGCACGTTCACTGGGGATAAACGTTCTGAAACATTTAGAAAGATCCCTAGCAGCTGTCTATATCTCAAAACAGCCTGACCGAGAGCGTTCGCTGGGGCTATATGTTCTGAAATGTTAAGGGAATATTGGCTATTAGATTTGCGCTAGTAAATGTTTTCAGTTTTAAAGAGGCCGGCTTCCATTCGGAGGTATTGACCCTTGCTACCAGAGGAGGCCATTGTGGCTCAGCCACTGGAGCCGAGCTGACCCTAGTCGCTCTTTACCCCAGTCGGAAAGCAGAGGAAGGCTAGGCACTGGACCCCATGGCAGTGCCAATCCAGTGCCCATGTCTGTGCCGGCTCCTGTGACTCTCTCTCCACCTCTTATAATGTTGTGCTGAAACCGCCCAACCTGTGGCTTGGCTTTGGACAACACACCGGCAACTATTGCCATGGATACCTATGGACAATGACTTCCTCCACTTCAATGGGTGGCTATGGGCAATGAACCCCTAACAACACTTGTTGGTAATGCCGTAGCATCCCAATTCTGTACACTGCCCCCCATCCTACCCCACCACCCGCACCTAAGAAGTCACCCAACCAATGAAGGAGGGGAAAGTCACACCGGACAATCTGGCTTATCCAAACGGAGGTCTTCTTTTCCTCATGTACCTACCTGACACTGTTGTGAGTACAAATCTAGACACATAAATCAATGAGACAAGGATTTAAATGTGCAATATGTCAGTTATAAGAGTCCCGATTCTAGGACAACTATCATACATTTTATGAGAATAAAGAAACACTCTCCCCAAGCTTGTGTTGAACACAGAACTGTGCTTTTTGAGCAGCCTGTTTAATAGAATCCCAATGATAAAATCCCACATCATATCAGTTTGTTCAAAACTGAACATCAAAATGTTTTTATATACACCCCCAAAAAGTCTTATTGTCCAACATCGAAACAGGTTTGCTTTCTAATTTGTTCACCCAATGCAGTTTAAAAGGTGTGTCTCTGTAGGAGTGTTGTCTTTGGTATTGACGCGTGTGTGTGTTAAAGCGTCCATTCAGGTTTCAGTGTGTAGTCTGCCTCTTATCTATGGTGCAGGTTAGATTCAGGTTTCAGTGTGTAGTCTGCCTCTTGTCTATGGTGCAGGTTAGATTCAGGTTTCAGTGTGTAGTCTGCCTCTTGTCTATGGTGCAGGTTAGATTCAGGTTTCAGTGTGTAGTCTGCCTCTTGTCTATGGTGCAGGTTAGATTCAGGTTTCAGTGTGTAGTCTGCCTCTTGTCTATGGTGCAGGTTTGGAGCCAAATGCCTTGTTGTTGTATACCTGCTGCTGTTTGTCTGTTGTGCCTCTGTGCACTTTCCCAATCTTTTACCTGCATAACCAATAGACCAATGATGTGTATTATATAATTAAGCAATAAGGCCCGAGGGGGTGTGGTATATGGCCAATATACCACGGCTAATGGCTGCTCTTATGCACGACGCAACGCAGAGGGCCTGGATACAGCCCTTAGCCGTGGTATATTGGCAATATACCACAAACCTCCGAGGTGCCTTATTGCTACTATAAACTGGTTACCAACGTAATTAGAGCAGTAAAAATAAATGTTTTGTCATACCATGGCTGTTGTCCAATCAGCATTCAAGGCTCGTAAAAAATAGCAAAAATAAAGAAAAACCCTTGAATGAGTAGGTGTGTCCAAACTTCTGACTGGTAGTGTATATATACAGTGCCAGTCAAAAGTTTGGACACACCTACTTATCCAGGGTTTTTCTTTATTTTTACTATTTTCTACATTGTAGAATAATAGTGAAGACATCAAAACTATGAAATAACACATATGGAATCATGTAGTAACCAAAAAAGTGTTAAACAAATCAAAATATATTTCAGAGTCTTGATGACAGCTTTGCACACTCTTGGCATTCTCTCAACCAGCTTCATGAGGGAGTCACCTGGAATGCATTTTAATTAACAGGTGTGCCTTGATAAAAGTTAATTTGTGGAATTTCTTTCCTTAATGCGTTTGAGCCAATCAGTTGTGTTGTGACAAGGTAGGGTTGGTATACAGAAGATAGCCCTATTTGGTAAAATACCAAGTCCATATTATGGCAAGAACAGCTCAAATAAGCAAAGAGAAACGACAGTCCATCATTACATTAAGACATGAAGGTCAGTCAATCCGGAACATTTCAAGAACTTTGAAAGTTTCTTCAAGTGCAGCCGCAAAAACCATCAAGCGCTATGATGAAACTAGCCACCAGAGTTACCTCTGCTGTAGAGGATAAGTTCATTAGTTACTAGCCTCAGAAATTGCAGTCCAAATAAATGCTTCACAGAGTTCAAGTAACAGACACATCTCAACATCAACTGTTCAGAGGAGACAGTGTGAATCAGGCCTTCATGGTTGAATTGCTGCAAAGAAACCACTACTAAAGGACACCAATAAGAATAAGAGACTTGCTTGGGCCAAGAAACACGAGCAGTGGACATTAGACCGGTGGAAATCTGTCCTTTGGTCTGATGAGTCCAAATCTGTCTTTGTGAGACGCAGAGTAGGTGAACGGATGATATCTGTATGTTTGGTTCCCACCGTGAAGCATGGAGGAGATGGTGTGGGGGTGCTTTGCTGGTAACACTGTCTGTGATTTATTTAGAATTCAAGGCACACTTAACCAGCATGGCTACCACAGCATTCTGCAGCGATATGCCATCCCATCTGGTTTGGGCTTAATGGGACTATCATTTGTTTTTCAACAGGACAATGACCCAACACATCTCCAGGCTGTGTAAGGGCTATTTGACCAAGAAGGAGAGTTGGTTTGGGATGAGTTGGACCGCAGAGTGAAGGAAAAGCAGTGATGTAGTATTGTAGCGTGCAGAAACAGTTATGTCTCATTCTAATGATGGTGTGTATCTACCTGGAGGATTTTGAATTGATCAAGATATTTGTCTATGAGAGAGTCCGAGGGACTAGTATCCAATAGGGTTGCAAAATTAAACTTTCCCAAAATGCCCAGGTTTCCCAGAAATCCCAGGTACAGGATCAAAATGGAACATGTTGGAATTTTGAGAAAGTTACCTACCAGAAGACTGGTTTTGACATTGTTCTTGTGAGATGACTATGAAGTGATGTATGGACTGACAGCGGTGGTTCTAACGTATGTTGTATTTCCTTTCAGTCTACATTTCCTGTGTTCAGGTGTGTGTAGAAAGAGTTTGTCAGCTACTGAAATCTAGACACTAGTATAAAAATTCAAACAAGTTATTACATTTATCCTATGTAAGAGGTGCTATATAATTTAAGCAGCAGCACTTCGGAGCCTTTGGCTCTTTTTGTTTATTTGTGGAAGTGTAGTGTGACTGTGTGGCGACAAGGTGTCAGCGATGAGTCCGTAATACATTTACCCACAACAACAGTCTGTAGCCTGCCCTGCGTTTAACTGGACTTGCATTACCATGGTGAATCAAAATCAAATACAAATATATTTGTCACATGCGCCGAATACAACAGGTGTTGGCCTTACCGTGAAATACTTACTTACAAGCCCTTAACCAACAATGCAGAGTTTTAAAAAAGTATGAAAAAATTTGCTAAATAAACTAAAGGAAAAATAGTAACACAATAAAATAACAATAACGAGGCCATATACAAAGCCTTCATACCCACTACTACAGAGATTTCTGTAATCTGATCAGTCCATGTGTTGTCATGATGACTATGGACATGTAACTCTGAGAGTTTCCTCAGTACCCCCACGCTGGGGTGCCTTATAAATATGGGCCCTGTTCTTATCTTGTTAAGCCAAAGGATGGAAGTAGGAAGTAGGAAGTCATAAGAATCATATGTACATCTAAGAGTTGGTCTCAATAGTCTAAACTCACTTCCTTTCCCAATCTGCTTTCCTTCAGCTGCGCTGAACGAGCTGGATAGGTAAAAGCTACTTCCTGGTAGGCAGCTTCCATACTGCTTTCACCCATCCTGTGTTTTCAGATCGGTGCAGATGAAGGGTAGGAAATGGAGATGATTTTATTTTGTTTTAGTGGACAATTTAAAATGCATCAAAAAATGTACACCTGGCAACGGATACATACCATAAACTGTTGACGATATAATCACAATAAAGTTGAAAGACTTGTTTCCATTGTGGTCCTCTTGAGGAGAGTAAGCCACTTTTTTAAAAACTATTGAGATGCACCCTCAAACTTTCAAAGATGGTGGATACATGAATGCCAAGCAACACAGGAGGGAGTACTTGCATGTATGTTACAGTGCTATAAAAGAGAGGTCATACTCTCTTTGGAGCACTGCTGCTCTGTCCCAATGCAAACCTCTCCTATGGAAAGGTTTACCGATGATTTCTCCCAGCCCACCCATGGTACGGCAGCTAAGCCCTTAGCCTACACCTCTAAGCCAATCTCATCGATGCTCAGACTCTATTCTCTATGGTCTTTTGTACAATATTTGTTATTTTGGCGCTAGGAAACTTTATGCAATAGTGCTTAGTTGACTGAAACCAGGGTTGTGTTCAGCAGTGTAAACGGGGGAGAAAACATTTTGTCAAATGCAAATTACAGATTGAGGTAGCATCTCCTTCTTTTTTGTTTCAAAGCGTTTCATCCCATTGAGGTGGCTACTGAACGTGACCCTGTTGAAACTGTTTTGTGAATCCTATCATGGTTTAAGACATGATTGTCTCAGTAATTGTATTTAGTTAGAGTGAGATTGATTGCATTGATAAGTGGAGCACCTGTGATGTTTGTGTTGAATGTATTAATGTGTTTATTCTGTAGGCCTAAACTATGCTATTGAAACGCTACGGGCTGAAGTCCTTACTTAAGATCTACGCTTGTAACTCAAATGTTAATGTAAATCTCCATTTACATCATTACGTGGTTTACAAAAAAGTCCAAGTTATTTGCATGTATCAGGGTTAGGGTCAATTCCATTTCAATTCAGG